GGAAGTATACGCTGCGCTGTCAGTACGCTTCTCTCCATGTTTGTGATTGGTTGAATGCTCCAAATACTACCCCTTTCATGTGAACGTGCACCTAACTAGATAGGACACGGCTGGCTTGAGCAATCCACTTGATAACCCGCGTCGTAGTACAGTTTAGCGAGAGTGCGTATGTTTTGGATTAGGCCAACCGGCTAACTCAAACATATCCAGGTTAGGTTGAACCAGCTTCGTAGTACAGGCCTCAGGATGGGGCAAATAATAATATCCTGATTCTGAGCAAATCCAACACACAGATATGTAGATACACATCACAGTGCCACAAATGAACCACACTGACGACAGCATGGGCTTATCTGAAGGGGTATTTGAATGTTTGATACAAGGAATAAGCAGTACAGTGATAACACAACTGATAAAACATTACAAAGACTCTGCTCCGCTGTCATAGCTACCAGAACATCCTGTTACACACGCAGGGTTGTTTCCCTCTCTGTCCTTCAGGTTGTGTGGCAATGATCAGACTAAAGTGGGTTGTGGACTGAATAACTGAATTTGTGGGTTGCATTTGTGGACAGTCAGTTAAAATCTGGAAGCTAAACTCATGACACACAGAGTGTAAACAATTTTTAATTTCACTTTAAACCTCTCCGTCACACCCTTCCCTCTTTCATCTTCAAACGAGTATACAGTCTAAATGGAGAGCAATGTCTGTTTGCTTTTGGCAAAAATAGATATGTTTAAATGTTATTTGAGGTGAAACAAATACCAACATTTTAGTCAGTGCTCTGTTTCTAACAAAGTGATAGGGTGCCAGGTAGGGAGCAGAGTAGGATTCTAGTCTGTGAACTATGATTATTTACAAAGTGATTAAGTTATGATAACCTCTAAACTTTAGTTTCAGAATGCAAGAACAGAACTTGTTTATTCTGCTCGACTCGATAAAATCTCCTTATTACTAATACTATAATTATTAACTTTTCTGTTATAGTTAACTTTAAAGTGGTATGAATATTGTTAGCTTATTATTAACAACATTTCAAACAAACGGTATGAGAGCAGCGATAGTGAAAACCAACAGAAGGTTGCCCAACACATTTTAACACAATGTAAAGTGGTAACGTTTTTTTGTTTATTTATTTTCACCATGTTGCACAAAGGAGACACGTAACCCTAAAGGAAATACCTTTATAATTATCTGCAAATACTACCTAAGCTGGGATAAATACAGTGTTAAGGTTTAAGCAATTTTTTTGTAATTTCACGTATTTGCCAAAGCTCTAAAAACAAAATGTAAATCTAGCTAAGGTAACTTTGAATATCTGCTTTTGTTAAAACTCAGTGTGAGATTGAGTCTCAGGCCCTATTTCATTTCACCTGACCTCTCTCAGTATTAAAACCACAGGGCAAAATGGAAAAGTCAAGCACATGATTTGATTTTCCCTCCATGACGACCTACAGTTATCAGCATCAGTGTTATGGAAAGCTGGCAGGTATAAAAGGACAGATGAAAGGGTGGGAACGGCCGTAAAGCACACCTGAAGATGGAGAACACAAAGATGATGGTCCTCTCCGCCTGTTTGATCTTCATGATACGGGGCTGCACTCAGGTGAGGGACTCTTTGATGGACCTGACTATTTCAGAGGGCTGTGTTGGGCAGAGATGGCCTAATAGTTCAGCCTCTCTGATTGTTGACACTGTCTGGAAAGGGAATTCATGGGGAGGTCAAAACACGCACATCTGACTCTTGTTTTTCTAGTTAAAGTGGGATGCCAGTCAAATTAGTTAGAGGTGAATGCAACATGTAAATGCATCTCAAATTCTACGCAAATGGAGGTAAATGTAAACACTTAAAAAAAATGTTTTGGAACAAATAGATAGTAAATTTTTCTGTTTGGATTTCATTTTTAACTGAAACAAAATATATTTCTTGCAAAACTTTAACACTTAATGAAGAGTTAACAAATATTTGGCTCTTGGCTTATTTCATGAGTTTAACCTCATCTTTAAATAGCATGTCAAATTGCAAAAGTTACGAGGGTTAAACATTGGCTTAGATTAACCTTTGGTACAAATTCCTCAGAAAACTAAGTGGTCACTTGTGTTAAATTTCAATTGTTCCACATCTGTATAATTAAGTCCAGCAAATGTATGTATAGCTCCTCCACTTCTATAAATCAGTAACACTGAATACATTAGACCTAACTTACTGCTGGAGGGAGTGTCTGTGCAGTGTCTGCCACTGGAGTTTTAGAAAACTGTATATTACTGTTAGGAAAAATAAAGTTTAGATTTGGGCTACGGGCAAGAAAAACCACAAAGAGACAGATGCAGATACACTGTGTGCAGTCAGAGGACATGCAGTCAAGGGCAGAGATGTACTGCAGGTTTATTCAAACCACAGAACATGCAAATTGAGGTTAATCTCCTCCTGCAGGTGCTTGTATGTGATCGACTGATAGTAAAACACAGGCGGGAAATAATAGCAGGATACATTGGTGTCCTTTAAAGGCAGGGAGAAAGAAAGATTAGCCAAGTGATACAATGTACAGTAGTCTTCTTATTACTGTTATTATAAAATTGTCATGCCTATAATGTCTGCTTCTGGAAGCCATTTTTTAAAGTTTTAATCTTTGTTACATTTGTGAACACATGTTACATTTCTGTTTCTCAAAGGTTAATTCACACAAGTGACCTGTTTCCCTGCTTATTAGTGGTATAAGGTCTATGTCTAGGATTTCTGCCTCCTGTACAATGGAGGAATTTAATATACTGTAGGGCTCAATCAAAAAAGTCAACACTAGCACGTAGTTTACTGGAATAGCTTAACATTTGCGGAAGAATGAAATGTGAAGTTCCATATCAATCTCATGGCTGAGCGTTTTTTAAAGAGCTAAAATCAGGACAGGTTACCATACAGTGGCTTAGGGATAGACAATTTACGGTTTTAGAGGAAGCCACAGGCTGGAACTATAACCGATTTCCAGTTAGCCTTAATACCACTATGTGTATGAGAGAAATGTTAACATATTCCTTTTTCTGCTATATATCTTTCCTTAAACCCATTATGGTTTTCACTGAGGTTAAAGAATAGTGGTTATGAAAAAACACATGAATGAAAGGCAAAACCTTTTTGACAATTAAACCCCATTCATTTAAAATGCAGTATGCCATGCAATAACATACCACGATGGCTGCATCCAGGCACAATTTGCAGTAAGCCAAATTACATGCTTTGTAAGGGCGGCACTTTCAGTACTACTAAAAGAAAAAAAAGAAAGTATCCAATTCAAAACCCACAGGTTAATCATTGCTCCCCTGTGTTCTTAAATATAAAGTGACTCTGGATTTATCACATCTACATATGCAAACTGTTGTTTTCTTTTGATAGGAGCCATCTGTAGCAAATGCAACAGTGACGTCCAACAACACCACACCAGTACTTGGTCACACCTCTGGTCCTCTTATCTCCAACAACTTGTCAGCACCCATCACCGCAGGTCTCCTCCCGCCCACTACCACTACAACCACCCCCATCACTTCATCACGGCAGCCCACTAAGTCCTCTGGAGCCTCGTCACCAGCTCACACCTGCCATCATCACTCTTCAGCTGCGACCTCTGCCTCTTTCTTCGGGCCCTGCAGTCAAGTACTGGTGACTGTTCTGATAGGGTCTGTCTTGCTCTAAAAATGTAAAAGAAATCACAGATTCACCCTTTTTCTCAATGGCAATATTGTATTCCTCCCTCTTTGTATACATGTATCATAATAATGCTGTGCAGTGTTCTGTTTGTACTGAGATTTTTCCCACTTTTGATCAAGAATGTTCCACACAATTTCAATAATGGGTGTATAACTCTATGCTTCAGATATAAAAATGAATCTTAATCAAACATAGCAAACATAAACACAAGATATGGCAATTTCCTAGATTTTAATTTTAAAACGTATCAGCGGCTGAGGGCGGCTGTGGCTCAGTGGATAGAGTGCTGGACTTTGAATCAGGGGGTAGTTTGAGTCCCACTGCAGTCAGCATGTCGTTGTGTCCCTGGGCAAGACACTTCACTCCAAATTGCTCCTGTGGGGATTGCCCACAGTACTGAATGTATGTAAGTTGCTTTGGATAAAAGCGTCTAACAAATGACATGTAATGTAATCAGCATCTAGTATGAAAATGTAGGGAGTTTTTTGGGGTGCAGCGCTCAATAAAACTAGACATGGTACTGCCAAAGCTGCCACTTTATTTGCATCTTGCTTTTAATATTAAAACGATACCCCATTTTATATTCAAACAACATCATATTCAAATGAAGGCTGCTCGTCTTGAACAGCATGTAAAGGTCTGTTTTTGTTTTCTTATATAACTGTTTTTGGGCCATTGACAAGACTGTATTTCTGTTTATCTGAAGATGATTGCAAACTGTTGACTCTTAAAGTATGAGGATGACTTACACTTTGGCTCGAGTAGTCTATGTGCAAAATCAATTAAATGTGACATTATATTAGAGATAAAAACAACAGGGGAATTGCTATTGTGGAAATGTAAAGAAAGTCATTTGTGTATTTTACATTTGAGTTGGATACATTTGCTAAAGTGTGCTGATGCAGTGAGATGATCACCAAGGTCTCATCAGATGTATGTTTATCATTGAACTCAAGTTTTTCAGGGCAACAAATATGTTCCTGAGCAATTGAAATAAAGAGTGTGCTATATTTAACACTTCATTCAAGGTGAAGCCTTTATTGACATGATCTATTCTAGATTGATTCTACAGATAAATAAATAACAAAACCCAGCTATGAACGGATACCACTCACTGCAGGTATTTAGATAAAGGCAGTGACAAGTTATGTCTTACATCAATATCTTTGTTGTTTTCAATTGGCTCACTGTGAAGTTTTGCATTTGTGGTCCATAGCCTGGGTGGAGACTGAGGAAAAGCTTCCTGGATTGGAAAAGGTATCACGTGAAATCTGAATGCCTTATAAAAGGCAACACTCAAGAAAAACATCTCTTAAAAAGCTCTCAGCAAGGATACACAAGTTTATGACCGACCCGACCTTGAAGGAAAAGACAAACGTTTTTAAAAACAGCAAGGCTTTCAAAAGATATCTCCAGCTGTCTTCTTGTCCTCAAAAGGAAGTAATCTCTTTTCCAACATGAAGTATCTGGTCCTGGGGCTGTTCTCACTGACTCTGCTGGGATTCATCCAGGTAAACATACTCTTTACTGGCTGTATAATATAGACATAGGGTAGAAATGAACCATAGCCTGAATAAGGAACGAGGAAACTTTGAGTTGAAAGATGAAATAGGACAATTTCTACAAAAAGTTAATAATAAAACAAATTCATCAAAGTGAAATGTCAAAAATCTTTCAATATTCTCCACCTGTATCCCTCATTTAAATGAATTGGAAACAACATTTAATAATAGGCAGGATTATGCTACATTCAATTTACTCTTATGTCTTAAACCTCTGTCTCATCCTTTATCCTTCACACAGAGATCAAATGGCCAGTCTACCCCATCAATGCCATCCAACAGCACCACTGACAATGACAACACCACCAACAGCAACAACAACAACAACACCACCAACAACAGCAACAGCAACAACAACAACAACAACAACAACAACAACAACAACAACAACATACCGACTAAACCCATGACCATGGTTGCCAAGACAACAAAGAACGGACAGAACCACATCTTCACGTCTGTCAGTCTGATAGTCGCATCATTTCTTCTTCACACTCTTTGGCAATGAGCTCCTTCGTGACTCTTAATAGTGCTGTTGAAAAATCATTGCAAATCTGATTATTTTAGAATATTTGCTGTAGAGAAAATATGATTTCAGTTGTGTGTGTTCAACAAGGTGGTGGAATATGAGATTAGGAAATGATTAGCGAGTCTATGTGACATAGCCAGCTTGTTAATTAACTGACAAATACACTTTCCACAGACTGTGGTTTAGATTGTGCACTGATATGTATTACTGACAAGTAACATGTAATGTATGTGATAGAAATGACAGATAGTTATGAATGTTTATTTGTTAAGATGATTGTGGCTTGATCTGCATTTGAGTGTGGCGTATCCTTAATCACATTCACACTTTATTATATACAGTGGCATATTAAAATATCTTAATCCAACATTGGTTGGTAAATTGCCCTTAAGTTCATGATAGAAGCAACGCAGTTTGAATCAACATCGCAGGTGCAGTGAAAAAGATGGATCAGCAAGTCATTCATTCATTCAGTCAAGTGTGATTCATGTTTTTGTGCTACTGTTCTACTCCTGGGGGAGGCTCCAGATGGTTTGATGAACTACATGTTATCATATGAAATGCATGTCTGCTGCAAAAATGTAAAAGAAATATGATTTATATACTATAGATAGTTAGAAAACATAAATAAAAGAGAATGACTGATAAAAAAACAACTCACTTGGACACTGTCTCCCTCTGCAGGCTCAAAGGTTTTTGTCCAACATGGAAAGGTGTGGCTTTCGCAAATACTCTCACACGTTGTAAAGACATGGAGAGATGATACCAGGAAAAGTCTGTAAAGAAATACTTCAGCAGTAAAGAAAAAGTTGGGCTGGTAATGAGCTTTAGAAAAGTAACCATGGGATTTTCTGGAACATCAGTAAAGCGTTTCAGGGAAAATCAATACAAGATCAAATCAAATAAGAATGTACTTTATTGCATCAGAGGGGATTTTTTTTGGGGAAAGTATTTTAAGCTGCCTTGAACATAAAACAATGTGTAGCCAAAGTATTAAATAGGCATTCAAATATGAATGATGAAATGATGAAAGCTGAAACTAAAACATGATTAAATATTACACATGTGCAGTAAGATAAAATAATCAATACATTATCAAAATGATGTTTTAAGTAACTGTAAAGCCGAAATAAACTACACTGAAAAAACTGAAACGATCACTTTAATTAAATGTATTATGTCAACACATTCCATATCACTGTATTAGGTTAGTAGTTGAAAGCAATAATGTTAAGTTAAAAATAAGACATATAGAGTGCCACAGGGACAAATCGATAGATTTATGATTAGAAATTAGAAAGTTTTAGGACGCGTCACTGTGGCACTCGAACCTTAATAATAATAAAGTAATAATATAATATTACCTATTTCTTATAACCTAAAACTTTCTCATTTCTAATCATAAATAATAATATGTAATATTAATAATTATTTATCATAATATATTATAATAGTAAGAAAGTCTTCTTTTGAATAAGAAAAAAACGTTGGGGTTATCCACAGATAAATATGAAGTCTGACAAAGTACTTAATGTCCAATATATTGCATAGTTTATTTTGGCACCTTCCCTGAATTTGA